AGTGCGTGCTAATTAAGATCGGCTGATTAACACGCACTTGGCTAGCAACGAAATGTTCTAGAGATTCAATTATAGCAACAAGACTCTTTACAAGTTTTATAAGTTTAGTGATTACTCATAAAGAATATTAGTAGTAGATCACTAATAACAGTGAGCATAAATGGCTAATTATTTAAATAACAGGTTTAAAAATGTTTAATTCTTTCTTCTGACAGTCAATCAGTTCAAATTCAAACATATAAAGGCTTTACATTTACAATCTTTTCATATAATTATTGTAAGTCATTATAATGGTGCACTGTGTGTCTTTGATACGCTAAACTACTAATCATTTGTTGAACTTGAAGTTTACTGTTTAAACAATTAACTTTATAGTTAAGAAAGTTTACTACAAAGTAAATATGCCCTTTAGATGCAACAATAAGTAGCCGACCATAAAAAGATCGGCGCTCTTGTATGAGGATCACGATGAGGGCAGGAGCACGCGGCACACAGGTCCCGCAGGCTGCGTTGTAATCGGCGCGTAATAATCGGAACGAAAGTGAAGCGAGCCAAGTGTTGAGTCGATAGCCGGCGGCCATACAGAACCTACCTTATTGCAGTACTATATCTTACATTTGAAGTTGCCATATATTTATATTTGTATTCTTATCATCATTTATAACAAGAATATATTATGAAAACTAAACTTACAAATGCAACATATCTATGTAAATACGGCTGATTGCAATAGATGCACGCGGCAACATCCTTGCGAATTAATATATTTTACGATGTCTTGACAAATTAAGAAATGTACAGGCATGTACTTAAATGTACGAAGATTATTATAAATACTTTTTATTCAAAATGTTCCAAAGAAATGCTTTGACAATAACGTACGACACATTTACGCCGGTACTGGTGCACAATATTATTTGAAAAAATATAAAGTAACCGTTTCAGCAATAGAGCGGACAGTTTGACAGCATATCATAGCGCTGCCTGTAGCGGTCGCATTACCGAGGGAGCTTAGACTCGCATGCATATGCAATTCTGCAGTCCGCACATGCAATTACTCGCCAATTTATTGTCAGCAATAGTTTTGCATTTTATCGCCATCTGCACACAGATCTAGCAGAGTTAACTGTCTTTGTCACACGTTAGTAAGCATCTTACGAGCGAAAGAGATAGAAGAGATCTTCATCCCGAGATGTTTGGTATTTAAGTGTGCTACAATAAATATGCGGTAATGCCAAGATCTGAATGCGGGACTATTTGATGTTACGCATGCGGACTGGGCGATGAACCAGTAGCCAGTAGTCAACCTGTTTTGATATCATAAACTGTGTCCATTCCTTAGGTTATTTTATGTTTTAAGAAAAAATACTATTAGACACAAACATCCTCTTTAGTAGAATCTTATGATTATGTACGAACCATTAATTAGAAATTGAACCATGAAGTTAATAGAGTACAGAGGACGATGCACAACGATATTGACAATGGCTCTATTCCATTCTCATACAAAACGCACAGTTTCCTTTACTGTAATCTTCGTGCATCTTTCTCAGTGGCATCAGATCGAGTCGCTTTCAATTATACAATTTGTTATGCGACGCGAGACCTGCGCGAGCGCAGCCGCTGGCTTTTTGTTCACAATCGATTATGCTCGATTCATTATATTCCAGTATCGATTTCGCGCCCGACATTTATTGAATTAGTATCGATTTAATTTATTTTCATTCTTTATATTTTTATCTTGTACCTTAAGCACGTACTTTATGTACGTGCGTACGTAATGCATTACTGAGAGCATGTCCATGACTAACGCAACTTTGAATACAAATACAGATACTAATTATAATAAGATGAAATGATATCAAGCCTTATCTCCAAGAGCATCGACCTAGATTAAAACAATAGATGTCCAAACCGGCACACATTGCATTACATATAATATTCAATCAACGTTGGGATCTACGTTATCGAAGGCAATGTATCATGCGGCGGTAATTTGTGAGAAAAAAGGGCGGCGTACAGTTGCGGTACTGCCGCACAATGGCTGGGAACTCCGTGATAGCTGGCCATAAAATATAACATGTACACCGTACGTGTACTTGGCGGTAAATGTACCTACACACGCATCTAGGGAAGTAAACTGCAATGCTAGGTACCTACAAGGTACACATTAAACTTCAACATGACATGATAGAAAATTTTTGGTATGGAATGATAATGATTATATATCATGAGACTCCACAAGGTGATTATTAGTTTACTGGACAAATTTCGAGTTGCCAACAAACTATATCTTATGTCATTCTTCTTTCTATCGAAGGATAAGGTTTATAATAACCGTAGTAAATAAAAATAACAATTTTTATTTATAAAAAATATTATTTCTAAAAGTGTTGTCCCCCGTTGCTACTTCCATTCTTCACGTGGAAGGCCTAACATTAGTCAGTGTGACACTGTGCGAGCGCGGCTTCATGGCCATAACCCTATAGTTCTACAATCGCACGCTTCATCTGCAGATATTCCCACCGACATGATCTTTAGTACGTATAATAATATAAGTAGTTACATTCGCAGCCACCTGAAGCCTACGGGGGCTATCACAAAGGAAGAACTTACAATGTTAGGAAGATAATCTGATACAGCAATATAATAAACGACAAACTATTTGTAACAAAGCCTTTACAGTGAAAAATTGCATGCAGTTCCTATTAAAATTTAATTCTTTGAAAACTTTTAAAACTTGTAACCAGCCAGGAACATATCGCACAGGCATTTGTGATGAATATTTATCCATCTTAGATATATACAAAGGTACGTATGTACTTCATAATTTAAAGATGATTATTTTAATAGATTTTAAATATACCATTAAACGTTGCTGAAATAATTAACGAACTTAGTTCTGTCTTATACCGCTCTCTCACAACAAAGTAAACAGTTATAATTTTAAATTAAACTGTCAAGTACTTATTCTTTCCGAACACTCAAACCAAACACCTTGGTGTGGAACGAGGCGTGCGCCTGCGCAGGAAGTCACACAAACGACTTCAACGCACATTAACATTACAATATCCACAATCCACATGAACTTTTAGAAGGAAAACTGGTAGTTATACACGGCTATATTCATTAAAATTAAACTTTATCAAGCTAACCAATTGAGGCACATTTTATCAATAGACTTTTAACTTTCTCCTATTGTTACAAAGTTGAATATCGCTTAAAGAATTCTGTCAGTTTGGGTAACTTAATAAGCTGGATTTTATGTGTGTTAAAGCATTAATGGCCCCGTCCGGCCACTACACATTAAAATGATATCTACCTTCTACCTCTGGTCAGTACATATAACCACACGGTACATAACATGTCATTACTAACGTTGTATGTAATCACATAAGATTTAACATAAAAAGTTGTGTGTGTTTACGGACAAAATAAATGGTTATAACCAAATCTTCATTACTGTAAAAAATAATAACCATTTTTTACGAATCCTATTACACGGTAAAATAAAATAACTGAAATATATGTGTATTTTAATTGTACGTTCACTGTTTAATATTTTATGTTAAGAATATACTAAAACAAATGTAAGAAACTTCTCAATTAGCATCGATGAATGACTTCCAAGTTTCGACTATAAAGTATGTAAGTTAGACATTCAGTTTGAACATAACTTAGCTATTCCTAATTAAGTTCGCCAAGCCGAATGGCGTGAAGCAAGAACATAAAGTGTACTGGGAATGACTGAGCGAGTACAGCCGGTGTAGGCAGAGGTACCACCGCTATATACATGCGAGAGACATTTGTTTGGCCGCTTGTCACACCATAGAGTTATAGCCTTCAAACTCGAAGGTTTATAGCGAAAGGCTCGAAAGGAAGGCCTGGTAAGGTTTTTACTTTAACAATAAACTGGCGGTCGGCTACTACGCAAAAGTCTAGGAAACATGAAAAATAAAAAAACTGTAATAAAAAATACGATTTAAATTGCTGAAATAAAAGTTAACGATTGACTGCTGATGGAAAAACACAACAGTGACTCCTGAAACTTTTAAACGTTATAAAATACATAATTTTAATAGTAGTTTTAAATACTCTACACCAAGAATCAAAACATAAAACATAATATAATACATACATACAAGATAATAAAGATATTCATTGTTCTGTTTGTGTACCCAGATGGCGAGCATCGAGGTGTCGCTGGCGGGGTCGCGGCGGCGCAGCGCGGGCGCACGTGACGTCAGCCGCGAACTCGATGCACTAAGAACTGCACTCACAGATAAGGACACCCTCATACAAAGGTTGTTAACCCTACTTTATCTATACATACATACCTACCTACAGCAGGATAATAAACAACAGTTTGGCAAAAAGTTCGCCCTATAACTAAGACAAGTTTAGTAGTAGACTACAATCAGGCTTCAACCATCGAAAATACCTATTATATATAACTATAGTTTCCAAAAGTACACTAAAGTCTTACATTTTAAAGTATATTTCATCCAACAGTTTGAAGAAGCAACTAAGTGCATCACTGAGTGCGGCCCGGCTGGCTTCCCCAACTGCATCTAGGGCCAGTTCTCACGAGGACCACGCCACCGCTCTCTCAGCTGATGAGAGGAGAGCTCTGGAGGAACGAGCCAATGCAGTCCGAAGCGAGCTGGACACTCGCAAGGCTAACATACAGGAACTCAGGCGACGGCTCGAGAAGACACATGTAACTGAGTAAGTTATTGAAAAGACAAAACGAATATCGTATAAACGAAAGAAATACGTATATATTTTTTACACTTCTACTTTAACATTTAAAATAATATTAATAACAGTTATTATCCACAATCCTTTGCAATTAATAAAAAAAACAAAAGTGTAATTAAATTGAGAATAAAACTGTCGTCAGGCGATTCAGTCCACATTTACGCAAAACAATTACCTTTAGGTAGGAGCCTTTAATTTTAGTACTAGCCAATTATCCTTTTGTCCCAGTAACATAGACACGCGGATCCAGCAGGCGGAACTTCAGTACAAGCTGGGCCGCGAGGAGTTGGAGCTGCTGACGCTGAGCGAGCAGGCGCGCGGGCTCGCGCAGCTCATCGAGCAGGCTGATGCAGCCGCCAACCGGAACAACCGAACCACTTTGTACAGGTACATTAAGCCAAAGAAATAGACAACAGAAAATAACTTACATTAATTTCAGGCTGATTTTCATTCTTTGTTTGTCATCAAATGGCTTCTACCGCCGTGCACATTGAACGAGAATGAATGTCAGTCTACTCTCTCTACTCCGCCCCGAATCAGGGCTGCGGTACAGTAATATTGGTATGATCTGCTAAAACTATGGATTTCAATATTTTTTTGTGGATCAACCAGTTCCTCCCGCAATCCTCGGCAATGTCGCTATGTTAAACCTAATCATAATTTTGTCAACTCTATCTGATTTTTACAATGTCAATAGAACCTTCTTAAGAACCATTTCTGGTAAAAGCTCGACGAGCAGGTTCTCAAAAAGCGTAATAATTCATAGAAGAAAGCCAGAGAACCTTTTTGTTTACTATCTCATTGCTGTATCGCGTGCGCACGCGCCCCACATGACATTATATTGTTGCCAGGAACGCGATCTTTTTAAACCACTTTATTGATATATTTTCTTCCATAATTGGGAAGAGCTAAAGAGAAAAGTGTGTAATAGATCTACTTAACAATGAAATGACACATTGAAACAATATATAGCTGGCTGCTGTGTAACCTGTCGCGTATTAGATTGCAGCACAGTACAACTCTTTTTGTGATTCACAAGTTGTTGTTCAGATTCCAAAGGTATCGTGCATTTCGAATTGTATTTATGACCTAGATGATTTTAAGTTTCGATAGGAACTCCGATATTTTAAATGAAGGTATGTTATTAATTTTTACTGCTAGAGTTGTCGTTGACGCATGTTACACATACCTACCTACCGTAGCACTTGACAACGTGTGACTACGCCTTTCAGTATTCTGAAAATCTTTTTTATACTTTTTCAGCGTCCTTTTTTGTCGTAGTTGGGTTTTAGTTTTTATACTTTATATTATTTTCTTTTAAGTTTTAAGTTTGGCTACCATGATTGAAATCGATCGAATCGGGCTTAAGAATGAAATAATGAAATATGAATGTAAAAAATATTAGCTGTAAAATAGACGTTGTAAAAATACCAATCAGAATCAAGCATATAAGATACCGTTCGATTGATAGAAATACCATTGCCAAAAGAATAGATAGTTATAGTTATATTAAATAAACTATCTTACAGATAAAATGTTTTGAAGAAAACTCGCAATACAATGGATGGGAATTTGCTCAGGTTGTAAACAAATGACTGAGTCGGCAAGTTTTTGCAAGTTCATTGAATGGTGACAGGCTGGTGGAGACCGTCTCGTAGCACACACTCACCGGATCGTGTAAATTGTGTCACACGCGACCAAACGGAGCAGCTAAATACTCCATGACACGTGAAGCAAAAGCACAGAAACAACCAATGAACTATAACTATTTACTGGTTTGAGCTAGATAGCCATAGAGTTGACGGAAATGTACATGTTAAGTTTACATGCAGGGTATATTATACGTTCAAACTTTAACTTGTCTTTTAAAATTATTTATTCCAACTAAGCCAATAAGTGCTTTTGAAACGTCAAAATAGAATAATAATACTCTGTTCTAGGTAAACCTAGGTGCTCGTTAAAGTGTATCCGAATGGAGAAGAACGTGTAAGAAACACGACCGTTGTTTGTATCTTTTTGATAAATGCTGTATCTATCTATACATATACATATATTATAAGAACTAAACTGAAAAAAACACCCGTTTAGAGGAAGGCTAATTTCAAATTAAGTTAATTTATTCAGTAAAATGTAAAGCAATTGCAGGCAGTAAACACTCACACGCAGATAGGATCTATTTGAATTAACTAGCTAACGCGCCGGCGCGGCGTACTGACGTTTCCTGTGTTTCCACATTAAACGGAAAAGCAAGCATCAGATCTGTGTGTTACGATCATTACGCCATCCATTGTTCGGCGGGGCGTGTCTTGGTAGCATACTTTCTATGGCCGACGTTCAATGTACTGCAATCAGTGGGAACTATCGCCAAATGTTTGCTCGTCAATAGGGAAAGTTCTGGACGCTCTGATTTAGTGATTTGGATGTAGTAATTAGAGAGGTGTTGGAGCGCGTGCGAACTTGTTAAGTTGTGAGGTGCTGGGGCTCACTGGACGATGAGAGGCCGTCCCCGACACACACTTACTTGTACAACATAATCTGATTGGAACTCTAAATACACTAATACGAATTATCAAGGTATACAATCACCGGCGCGAAAAAAATTCTTGTTCACTCCATATACTAAAATATTGCAGAAAAAAAATATCAATACATAAACGGCGAACAGTCAGGATAGAGTAAAATTGTGTCGTTAACATAACAAAACACTGTTTATAGCAACATCTAAGTTCAAAGGCAATAAATCAGGCACGTACAATGTTATCTCCAAGATAGCATCACATTTACATAAAACAATTAACCGACAGATTGCTCCCACTCAACACCTTCGTCTCACACTGCAGCAATCTTGATTGTAAAATCAACCGATACCGCACAGCTGAGAAAATATCTAAATACCACACATAAATAACTTTATTGAGTAACTTCATGCAGATTTTATGCAAAAATAACCTTTATTTCAAGAGTTATAGCGATTGTCTCAGAAATCTAAGTAGTAGGACAATACTCTATTAGGCAACAATCATACGTTAAAATGATTGGTATTGGCTTCCCACGGGCGCAGGCGGCGACGCAGCGTAACATTGCGGTAGCCAAGTTGCGGTCAATGTGTTCGGTTCAATTCCTGAGGAAAGTGTTATCAAGTTACGCTTCGTTGAACATTTATATATTGTTCCGGAAGCTATTGAATATGTTCTGAAATTTCAATTTATATATTAAAGTTCTATTAAGTCTAAAGAATATAGTGCCTAAACTCTGTTGACTCTGCACTACTCAAGTGTTGGTAATGCTACACTGCCTGCTAAACTAGACGCACGAAGCTGTATCTGTATCTAGTATAAAACCATAAAAATACACCAACGATATTAATAGAACAGTGATACATATTAAGCTTCGATCGCAACGCAGCTCATATCAAATAGGGCGTTAGATAAATTAAATCTATTTGGAAAATCTGAAAATCTATCCGAATATATGTGGGTTCGAAACCTGGCAAGTACCAATGTGACTTTTTCCGAGTTATATGTACTTTCTAGGATTATTTAGACACCACTGATATACGGTGAAGGTAAACATCGTGAGGAAACCTGGACTTATAATTTATAATTATAAGTTTGAAATCGCCAACCCGCATTGAGCAAGCGTGGTGATTAATGCTCAAACCTTCTCCGTGTGAGAAGAGGCCTTTGCTCAGCAGTGGGCACTTATAGGCTGATGATGATGATGATGATGATCCGAATATATAAAGTAGAATTTTTAAACCTTTTCTCATTAGCCAATTAGTCCGCGATTTTACTGACTCTGATCTGACTGTTTGTAGGCTAAATTCTTCAACTGCGTGTCATACCTACGTTTCATGCAGAAAAAAAAGGTGGAAGGAAGTTTCCTTTAGTTAAGAAAAACGTTGTATCTGTAAGGCTGCGAGGCTGCCGCGATAATCACGTTGTATTGTTCCCACGCCTGCAGAAGTGCAGTGAGATATCCCGTCTTCAAATGCTGCGGTCAGCCTGGGCTGTAATCGTGTGGTCGAGCCCTGCTCTCCGAGACACTGACCTACATACGGCTTCATTTCAAATTACATTGCTGATAGCCGTCTTGGGTTTAATATGCTATTATAGCTTTATATTGCTGCATTTATCTTAAATGGTAATTTATTCATCATCTGTCTTCTCACACCCAGAGCGGGGCCAGAGGAAGAGTTCTTCAGACTTTTAGCTTCCAGCCTAATAACATGAGAATAGGGCTCGTAAGGGAAAACCTAAACAGACTGATTTAAAACATAACATTACAGGAGATAATGTCGTAATTATTAAAATAAATACATTACTGGACTGTCTAAAACGTTTGACAACTGGTATTTACCAATAAAAACGTAAATAAAATACAGAGAAAATATTGTTTTATTCCGTACGTCACTTCGTATAGGTTTACAACTCGTTATGTAAATATTAATAAATCTTTATTTATGTACACTTTATGTATTTCCTCGGCTCCCGAATGACAAATTAAACTTGATGGAAACCGTCGTTTCATTGAATAACTTATGTTTCTTATACGAGAAACTTGTAGATGTAAGCTGTTAATAAATTATCAAGTAATAAAGTACAGCTCGTCGTGTCTCCACTATTTAGTATGGGAGACACGGCACTACATAGAACTGCTTCCTTCTGTGGTGCGACCAGTTTTTGCTGATAAAAATCAATTTAATCTAGTGGACGACTGCGACACGGATCGTAGAAATAAGAGCACTGCAGTTTTTAGCGAACTTAGATAAGAGGAAACGTCTGACTCGTGATTTGTATTAGATGGGATGATGGCAGTTTGTCAAATTGATTACTTAAATAATAATAATAAAATAAAAATACATATCGTTTTAAAAAAAACGATATGTATTTTTGCGTCGAATGCAATGTTTGTTTCACTTGAATAAGATAGAAAAATAAGTAAAGATAATACTTTAACTTTAAGTTTAACCTGTCATAATAGTTATAGTTAAATCGATCAGTGTGATTATGTTCCTTTTACATATATTAATGGATTTAATAGGGTTATCAGCGTGGTGACGTTTCGATCTCGGTAACGTCAAAATAACTTGCACACTGTTTATAAAAAAAAAAAAGACACGATGTTGTTAACTTAACTGAGTGCATGTTTTTATGTTTCTCCGTCAGCAAGTTAGTGGCATTTGCTAATGGCTGAATATAAATAAAGTAAATTTTCAATAACTACCGGCACTGAAATCAGCAATACCGCAAATAGCAATACAGCAATACCAATTAGAGAACAGTAAGCATACATGTCATGGTAACTAGCATAGGTAACGAGTATTGTTTACGCAAGAGACCACAGCTTGAACGACAGTCTCGGTTAGATATTTGACCACAGATACT